AACCACCGCCGTCTCGCCGGCCGGTGGTTCCGCCATGCCGGGGTGGAATAGGACACCGCCGGGCAATGGTGCGAGCCAGCTGACAAACGAATGTGTCGGAGCCAGTAGCAGTGAATGTACCCCGGTCAGCCGGGCGACTCCCATTTTCGAGTCGTGCGCAGCTTGAGGCGTAACATTATGATCGCAGCTACAGTTCACTGTCAGCGCATATATAGGAGTGCATGCTTCTGAACAACGCGGTCTGACGCAACGGCCTATGATTATCGACCTTGACCTGCAGGCATTTCCTTCCCAGGAACACATACAAAATGGCGCAAGATAAATGCTTGCTGCGGACCACGTTGCGCGTTGTTGATATTGCGGTCTCACACGCCACAGCATGTGGGTTATCTCGCCGGGCCTGCAAATACTGGTAGACTGAAAAATATTCCGAGAAATATAATACTTCTTGTCCAACGCATTGTCTACAGCATAATCAGCTGTAGTAGGCTATTGATAATGGGTTCCGGGGCCGGCTTTCAGTCAGCCCAGTCAGCGGTTAACCAGCGCGGCCGGCTGTATTTATGCCTACGGGCACTGACCACGTGACCTGGCTGAGGTCGCTTGTGCGGGCCGCAGTGGCTGCAGACTGGAGAAATGGACGGCCGGGTGTGGCCGGGGGTTGAGTTTGTCCAGGAGAGCGATTAAAAGACAAATGACCAAGTGAACCAAGTCTACATAATCATCACTCCTCCTCCGCCAGCTGGGCGACCTCTCGTCCAAGCCAACAGCCAAGGAGGCAGACAGTGAGAGAGGTAGGCGAGGGAGGCGGGGGGGGGGAGGGCGAGGGAGGAAGCTAGCGGGCGAGGGAGGCGAGGGAGGCGAGGGAGGAAGTCAGCGAGGGAGGCGGAACGAGAGAGGGAAGTGGCGAGGGGAAGATGGCGAGGGAGGCAGCGGCGAGACTGGCGGGCGGCAATCAGAAGACGATAAGGGGAGGGCAGTGAGGGCGGAAAATGGGGAGGCAGGGAGTCGGCAAGGGAAGCACGGAGGACCGCGACTGCCGACCGCGTCCGGGCCGGCTGTTGCGTGCCCCGCCGTCTACCAATGACGCGGGCAATGGCCCAGCCGCCGCCAAACTGGAGCTCCAGATGAACCGCCGAGCAAAACAGACGACGCCGCGCAAAATGCTGTATCGATACCGATGACAACATGTCACTAATGGCTGAGGCTCATCACAGCAGTGATCTCTACCCGCTAAAGCGGCTGAAAGCGGCCGCACCGCGCCCAATCTGTCTAAAGCGGGGCCGCCAGCCGGTTTGTCAACCAGACCTCGCGTGGTGGTCGTCCACCGCGTCAGGTGCGGTGGTGGGCACAGTCATGGAAAACAGACTGCAGACAATCACGACTGAACAGCACCCCAGCAACGCAATGACTGAGCATGAAGCTGAGCATCGGCCAAAAACGCCGAGACCGATCAAAACAAATAATTAGGATTGCTGGCCAGCGATCACAGATATACGTGCATCACCGACAGCCCGACTTGATCTGAGCGATGGACGAGCTTATCCTGGGTGCCGCGAGGCGGCCAGAGCGTAGGCGCGGGACCGACGTCAGAAAACCACGCGCCAGTTCCAGACGGCAAGGCAGCCGGCGTCACCGCCCGCCGGGGGAAGACCGCACGCAACACCTGCGGGCCGAATGGGACCCCGCGCGGCATCGCGCCCGGCCGTCGGCGGCGCCGGCCGACCGAGCGGCACCCCATCCGTAGTTGGGCCGGTGCGGCGCACTACCGCAGTCGAGCAATTCACGCGCCGGGCAGTGACGTCAGCTCGCCGGCCTACCGCCGCCGGCTTCATGGACTATTGATCACGAGCGCCGACGCCGCCGCCGCCGCGGGTGCGCCACGTCGTCCCGCCGCGTTCGCCGAACTGGCGGCCAACGCGCGGACCGCTTCTGGATACACCGCTGGCCGCCAAACACCGGGAACCGCCACGCCGCGCTGGGGGGAGGGGCTCCCGCCCCAAACAGCCGGCGTTCCGGGCGCACCGGTCGGCGGGCGTGGGCCGGCAGTGACACGGCGGCACCGGTGACGCAGCGCTGCCGCCGGCACCACGCGGCCGCCAGCGGCGCCCACCTGGCCCCTAGCCCAGTGCTCGTCGGACGCACAGAAATACCGACCACGCGGGCGGGACGGGACAGCGCGCCGGGCCGGCCGGAAGTGCCGCGCGAGGTTTTGCGGACGACACAAGATCACCGCCGCCGCACGTCAGCTGGGCTGACTCAGAGCCGCAGTTGACCGCCGCCCGGAGATAACGACAGACGGCCAGCAAGACCTCGGGACACCGAGAAACGTCCAGCAGAGCCTGGGGACACCGCCAGACGGCCAGCAAGACCTGAGGACACCGCGAGACGGCCAGCAGGGCCTGAATTACACCGGGAGACGGCCAGCAGAGCCTGGTGACACCGGGAGACAGACAGCAAGGCCTGGAGACAACGGGAGACGGCCGGCCGAGCCTGGGGGCACCGGGAGATGGCCAGCAGAGCCTGGTGACACCGGGAGACGGCCAGCAGGGCCTGGAGACAACGGGAGACGGCCGGCCGAGCCCGGGGGCACCGGGAGACGGCCAGCCGAGCCTGGGGGCACCGGGAGATGGCCAGCTAGGCCTGAACTTACCAGGAGACAGACAGCTAGGCCAGAGGACGTCGGGAGACGGCCAGCGAAGCCTGGAGATACAGGGAGACGGCCAGCGAGATCCGAAGCGGGTATGGGGGGTTTTCTAGCTGCTGCCGCCTCTGAACGGTGAACAGCGCGGGAGGGCATTCCCGGAGCGGCCGCCGAACGGCTTGCGTCGTCAGTTCCCGGAGCGAAGGTCGGCACCCGCCAACGCTATCAATAGCCGTTTCGGTTTACATCCGCATTTTTGAAGGTTGTGGTCGATTCGAAGCCGGTATGCGTGCGTTTGACTCGAGGGCTATTAACTGACGTGCAAGGTTAGCTAAAATGATCGCAGGTTTCCCCTAACTGATATGACAAGGTTACCTCCCACACCAGTTTCCGCGTGGGAAACAGCAAAATATGCGGTGGTTAATGTTCATTTGCCAAGAAATGTGGGGTTACGAACGCTTGGTAGCAAAGCCAAAGACAGGACTGCAGTCTTTCTGAAGCAACCTTTCCACACACGTTCCTGGAGCATTAGGCATCCCTACCGAAGGACTCCCAAGAGTGTGCAGTCTGAATCCGACCCCAGGCTTGAGCAAACCGGCCCGCTCTCACTAGACCCGCGAGCCGCCGGGCACGGGCACGCCACTGCGTCCGCACGACACGATTGGACACGTCCACCCAACGCCGGCCGCCGGCTGGGGCCGCCGAAGCCCCGGCCGCAGACGCCCGCCACGTGCTGGGAGCCGGGGGCCGGCAGCCGCCGCCAGCCTACCGAGCACCGGACCCGGACGGCCACAGACGCTCCTTGAACCGAGTCCGGGCGATGGCGCCGGCCACGTTCGGCCGAGTGATCAGCGGAAAATGCCATCGGTCCCGCCCGGCCACTGGCGCCAGCACGCCGACGGACGCTTGGTGGCCGAGGCGGCCGTCGGCACGCGGCGCCGGTGCCGGTGGCTCGGCCCCAGTCGGTCGCCTTTGGCGGGGCTGCAGTGGGACCAGTGAGCTGGACAGGCGTTCAAGGGCAAAGGACGAAAGGAAAAGGATCTGTGAGAACGGGTACGAAAAGGAGGGCGAGTCGGGCGAAAGTCGGGCGACACGGACACACGCATAAAGCGACGATGGTAAGGAGACCAAGGAGCGAAAACGACAACAGCGAATGGCACGGAGACAACGGAGACAGAGCGGAGCAAAGAGGGCAGCCACGTTTACCACACTGTGGTTTTCGCTGAGGAACATTAACGTTCACAGTGCACCGCACGCCCCGAAGCCAGCGGTTGCCACGCCGCATAATACGCACACCATGACAGCGTCACGTGACCAGGGCTGTTCCCACGCCGCGGTGACGTCACGTAGCCTGGCGACCAGCCGGGCCGCGCCGCGCGCCCCTGATACCGCGCGGCGTGTCGGCCGACCACGCCCTCCGGCGCCGCCAGCCGCAGCAGAGGGCTCCCACGAGGACGGGCTCAGTTCAGGACGGCAGGCGAGGGTGCGACCGCCGCCGCGGGCTGGGCGAACAGCAGCCGCTAGGACACAAAGCACCTTATCGCCGAGAGACAGAGGCAACCAGCCCGTCTGCGCAACGACGATGATAATTGAAAGCCTGCTGGGTCACGTGCAGTAGGGCGCATACATACAGCGTGTCTGTGCACCGTGAACGTCCGGCCGGGCAGCCTCTCGGGACGGCGGCACTGGCCGGCCGGCGGCGCCCACGTCGTTGGTGAGGCGCGGCGCTCTCTGCCGACATAAGCCTGAGGACAGGCGTCACCGCCGGCCGGGCGCGAGATCCCGGCGCCGGCGGAAGTGCGCCGGGCCGCCTGATGCGCCCGCTCCGCCGGCCGGGAGCGGCGGGCCTTGTTCTCGCAGCGGTGACGGACGACGCCACGGGGTGTCGGCGACTGGCCGCGCCGCGCGCTGGCAGCGCCGTTGGCATTCCCGACATAGCGGCGCCGCGCTCCGCTGACGGCGGCGGCGGTGGCCGGGCCGACGGTGAGCGCCGCCCGAGCCCAGCCGCCAGGGCGGCACAGCTCAATCCCGGCCGGCAGACGCCGTACGCCACACGCCGAGCAGGCCCGTCTCGGACGCTCGCTCTCCGACCGGCCCGATCGGCCCTCCCCGCGCGATCGCCCGCCGATCGGTCGTCCGCCGGCCAACACCATTTGGCCCACTCCTCAGCCGGCCACTCTGTACACCTCCCCTGCCGACCACTCTGTCCCACCACACCCACCCACCGACCCGTACCTCCCGGCGGGATCGGGCCATCCGAACCTCCCCGCGCACTCATCGACCGGCCAGCGGCAGCATTTACCCAGCATATCACCCGATAACAGCACGGCAGGGGCACCGGCATCAGTTCACTTACCGTGGCTGCCCAGCTGCCGGTAAAACCTGTACTCCAGGTGGAGCTGTGGAGCTTTCGACTTCATCGGCTCCTGCAAGACAGGCCGGCGGCATCAGCGGCGGCTTCCCGTGTCGGCCGGGACACGGCCAGCAGTCCAAATACAGGGCACGGCCCGCCAGACATAGCAGACAGAGTCTATGGAGCAGACGGCTCGCCGTACATAGCGAGCAGGGTTCATGGAGCAGACGGCTCGCCGGACATAGCGGACAGGGTTCATGGAGCAGACGGCTCGCCAGACACAGCAGACAGCTGAGCGCTGTCGGTGAGCCGTGTTTAAACAAGAGCACCCCACGCCGGCCGGGGTCAGCGGCCGGCAGCGGCGCGCGTCACGACCGGGCCGCCGAGGCCGAGCTGCTGCGGCCCGCCCAACACCGCTGAGCTTGGCTACGACGGCCAGCCGGCCACCGACCGAGTCACGCCTCGGTCCGCACACTCCGGCCACCGACCGAGTCACGCCTCGGTCCGCACACTCCGGCCACCGACCGAGTCACGCCTCGGTCCGCACACTCTGGCCACCGACCGAGTCACGCCTAGGTCCGCACACTCTGGCCACCGACCGAGTCACGCCTCGGTCCGCACACTCCGGCCACCGACCGAGTCACGCCTCGGTCCGCACACTCCGGCCACCGACCGAATCAAGCCTCGGTCCGCACACTCCGGCCACCGACCGAGTCACGCCTCGGTCCGCACACTCCAGCCACCGACCGAGTCACGCCTCGGTCCGCACACTCCGGCCACCGACCGAGTCACGCCTCGGTCCGCACACTCCGGCCACCGACCGAGTCACGCCTCGGTCCGCACACTCCGGCCACCCCAACAGGCACATGCTGAACTGGCGCCTAAGCGAACGATTCTAGCCAAATACGTCTGGTGTCGCAAATATATAGAGGAAGGTAACGGGCCGAAGGGGCCGCGCTAACAGTACGCTGCAATTAACGCCAGCCATTTCAGAACGCAGCTGGAACGCAGCTGGAACGCAGCTGTCGTTCGATACACAACAGTATGTGTAGTTACGTCAACATGGCGGGCAAAGCTGTTGGCCGTTGCTGCAATTGCATCCACATTTGCTATCATCTTGGCATTATTTCCAGCCCTCCAAAAACGACACAAACTAGCGAGCCAAATGAATCCAAATTGAAATGAGTTACGTGCCATGCCCGAAATTGGCTGGGCCCGGCGCCCAACTGCTGAACACAATGCTAGTACGTGTAAAGGGTGGGTAACAAACCCACCCCACCGTAGGCGCCCGCCCCACCGCAGGCGCCCGTCTCACCGTAGGCGCCCGCCTCACCGTAGGCGCCCGCCTCACCGCAGACGCCCGCCTCACCGTAGGCGCCCGCCCCACCGCAGGCGCCCGCCTCACCGTAGGCGCCCGCCCCACCGCAGGCGCCCGTCTCACCGTAGGCGCCCGCCTCACCGTAGGCGCCCGCCCCACCGCAGACGCCCGCCTCATCGTAGGCGCCCGCCTCACCGCAGGCGCCCGCCTCACCGCAGGCGCCCGCCACACCGCAGGGTGCCCGCCTCACCGCAGGCGCCCGCCCCACCGCCGACCGAGCTGGGCTCACCAGTTTGATGGCGACATGCTCGTTGTTGTAGATGTTCTTGCCGAGCCGGAGCTCGCCGAAGTTGCCGCACCCGATCTTCTTGCCCACGCGGAAATTGGGGCCGACCATGAGCACGCCCGAGGCGGCCGAGCCGGAGCCGGGGCCGGCCTGGCGCGAGCCCGTGCTGTGCACGTTGGTCCGGTTGGTGGCACTAGGCCGGGCGGCCGCGTGCCGGGCCGCGTCGGCGCCCGACCGCTCCTTGCCCTCGCGCTTCTGCATGCTCCGCGACTGGGCACTGGCACTAAAGTATCGGGACGCGGCGATGCCGAAGTGGGACACCTTGGCGCCGGCTGGGGTCACACCGCGGCAGCGCGGCGCGTCGCTAGCGGCGGGTGGTGGCCGCCGGCGGCGCGCGCACGGGCATCGGCCGCGGCCGGGCAGGCGGCGCCGGCGGGCCGCGCGCGCGGGGCGGGGACGGCTGGCGGCTCTCGCGTCCGCTGCAACAGCACAGGGCAGGTCAGTGTCGGTTGGCGGCGGATGACAGACGGGGGTCGTGTGACCCAGGCTGCTGGAGCCCCACCCTGGTATGGCCTGGTCAGGCGCACCGGCCCACACGTCACGCTCCACCCCTCGGTAGAAGCGGCCAAGCTAGCGACCAGTGACTCAGATGCTGCTGCCCTTCAAGGACGACTCGTTGCACCACGTGAAAAGTGCGCTACCCTACAGTTGCCAGAACTGAGCTTCCCCAAACATCAGCATAAATCAGTGCCAGGTAATAGTGAACAAGGGGATAAACTCAAGGCAAGCTTTTTAGCTTTGCTTGGTCCTTGGCCATCATCCTTTAAATGGGGTGAGTCTATCACAGCATTTGTATTGTTTCATTGCATTGTAAGTTTCAATGTATCCTGCATAGTGTACATGATACCATAAACAACACTGTCTGACACATATTAACTGACAGTTGCATCAAGAATGCTTGGATGTGGCCCACATTGCATATGATGGTTTCTGTTCCTGCCCATAGCCATTGACCAACTCCAGTGATAGCAAGCATGCAAAAACAGACTGAATGCCACTATCATTTCACAGGCACCAATAATCATGTCTGGCTCTTTCAAGCCTTTTAACTTGTGGTCAAGCCAAATAATTGTGGGCCAAACCCACTCAGTACTTATCTAGAATGCAGATGGGAAGGGGTGGTCATGTGGATAAATTGTGTTTTGGGAGCCTCACCAAGCAAACAATAGAAATACCATTATTGAGATGGTGTGACTCTGTCCCAGCCTGCACAAGCTTAGCAGCATCTCGAAACACATGAAAACCATGGAATAACTTGGCCATATATTTTGCACCAGGTCAGTACCAACTGCACTTCATTTGTTATCATGCATTATATCTACCTGGCTTCAGACAAATGAGATGGGATGGTCAGTTATCCCTTCTATGTGGTCTGGTGGATTCTGTTGGATATGTATGACATCTTGGCACTGTTCCATGCTGCACAGATTCACCATCTGCAGTGGTGAAACTGTGGCATGCAAGCAAGCACTAGCCTAGAGACCACTAGGTAATAAAACTGGAGACATCAAAATGACAAAGATAGTGATTTGAGACATCTAAGCCTTAAACAGCATGCCACATTCCCACATATGCATGTTGATTTGTCATATTGCTTCCTGCATCACAACTGAGGGTAGCAGCATACATTTTATTTTTTCTTAGCACTAGCTGAACAAGACAAGCTGACAAAGCATCATCACAGATATTTGAAAGACACTGAAAAATTATACTGGAATGTAATTTAAACTCAGCAAAAGCATCCATGTTTCCAAGTTCCACACACCACATTTTCACAAAACCTGTCACCACCAATGACAAGATGAACCAAGACCAAAGAAACCGTTAATTGTGCTTTGCATTCTGTTTTGCAAGGATGACTGGCCAGGAGGCAGAAACATCATCTTCTGGTGCCTGGGCACAGCCAACCACAGCCATGGTTAAAGCCTGCATCATTGGGATTGCTCTCCTCACCAGGGGCATGCAATGCCCTTGGGGAAGATCCCCTGATCCAAATATCCTTTGTCAAAGAACCTGGCAATTAGCAGAGAATGCCAACTTAAATGACATGTGGGTTTGACAACAAGGCAAGTAGCCATGCATTTCAGGTTTGACACAAAATTTAGGTCACAGGGTTCTACATGTCTGGGTGCAATTAGAAGCATTTCATCCTTGTGATTCAATCATCAGGCCTGAGTACTTGTTATCACCATAACTCAAAGCATATTTGCCTGTTTATCAAGCACAGAACACCCACCATGATATTTCTAGTCTACCTGACATGGCATGTGGATGATTCCAGACAAGTCAGGAATACAGAGTGCAAGTGCCCTTCTCAAACATAAGGCAGCTAGGCCTTATGAAATACCTAGATTGTACATATGGAAATATAACTTGCACAATATAATGTAAAATTTAGTCATATGACAACTAATTCATGCCCAAGAGACCTTTTAATATACAAAGGATGTTATTGCATCTATCTATGATATAGAATGTATCAGTTCAGAAGACAAGACTTCAGTACAGCAGGTACTGATAGTTTGTACATGCACCCTGACCCACCTGAAAACAATGTAACAAACTAAACACTGATGAATATGTCTGCAAGTTTTGTCCATCAACAACGTACTTTCGGCATTATTGTTGTTTGCATGCAAGGGAATCAACCTACTTTTCTACCATATGTGGTTAGCTTATTCCATAATGCAAATCACCAAATTGACACAGACAAATGAGCAGCGACTACCACCAATCAAAAAGCCACGTAAGCACATATATTTCTGAAATTAATGCATGATAAGTGCTATCAAATTTCAGTAGATGTCTTTCATATTTCACTTCTTATATATTTGATACTATATCTCAAGATAATTTAGGAGGTTCACATGCTTCAGAGCTATCCCACAAGGAAACACCTAGCAATCACCATTATGCTTCATGTAGGCTTGCTCTCATCACACTGTTTCTCAAAAGGTGTTATCATTAAAAAGGGGTATTTGTACAGAATGAATGAACATGTTACAAAACACTGGCCATAACAACTACAAGATGTTGTTCCTCATTATCCTAAATAAGCACAAAAGTCTAAAAGCTTGAAACAGGAAAGTCTAAAGAAACATTCCAATCTCTATACAAATCCAAAAGAACTGACATCTTGCAACTTCCATAAAAGGCCTTCAATACAATGCTGTGGATGCTTTACTGAAGGTACATACCTCTCAAGCTTGTGCTTCCAGATTATGGTTGCTGGCTTCAACAGAGGGTGCAAAAAGGGGAAAGTTGGATATCCAATAGCATTGGAAAGTTGAATTATACACAGAGATAAACAGAATTTCATGTATTTGCTTGAAGATGTCAGAATTATGGGATAACTGATCAATTCTCAGATCTGTGCAGGATGAACAATAGAGTTACCCTATGAGGAATCCATAAATTTGACAGAAAGAACACTGCAAAAGGTTATAAATAAAAAGTTATGTTATGCCAGACCAGGATCAGTTTACAGCATTATTCTCCAATAACAGGGTAAGGAATCAATAAAACAAGTTGCTTAATAGAGTGGCAAGTAACAATATTAATACAAGAAGCAATCTGACCTGTGTGCATCTAAGCAAGTAATAAGCACACAAAAGTGCCTTTATATGCTGAATTAGATCAGCAGTAGCTTTACCTCCACTTGGTAAGTTGTTAGTCAACCAATACATCAATGACCTTCATAACACAGCATACTACCTGTGGTATGTACAATACTGATTACTAGCTATAAATGAAATGAGTGTTAAGGAAAATTATGAAAAACTATTATGTGTGCATAGGTTCTAGTTTGTGACTAGTGTTGCAGCCTCAAGGTTATTAATGGTGCATATTCTGATCATTGCACAACATCCTCAAACATAGCATGACTCTTTTATGTACAATTAAAATTTTAGCTATTTATGTAGTATATAGTATATGTTTGCATCCACACCAAGACCTACATCAGTGCTTATGGCATAATACACTGATACTGGATACTGCAAGCAGCCTAATATCATATTTTATTACTGAAAGATGCCTCCATTACTTTAATTGCCAAAGACCCTTTTCCACTGTTCTCTATCCAACATAGATACACCCATTCTGTGGAAGATTGGAGTTGTACAGCATGCAAACATTGGAAGTCATTTTGCATCCTGATTCAACAACACTTTGCATGCATTCTGATTCACTAATATGCCAACCAGAATGGTGCTACTAGCATGGTAAACATGCTGAATGAGCCTGGGAGTACTTATGCAGGCAAATCCACACACACAACTTAAAATCAGTTTTTCAGAAGCCCTAAGTTCACAATAAGAGCCCATTTCGCCAGGCAAATCTGAGCCCTAAGTTGGTTGGTGGTTGGTTAATTGAGTCTTAGGGCGCATCGTCTACATGACCATATGTGACTGCATGGCCATACGGCGCCTACAGACCTCAGACGATGTTAAGGCCACGATCCTTGGCTTCTATGACCAACTCATACAGTTGTGTAATGCCTGGCACACCCTTGCCACGCCCACTAGCAGGAGACTTGCTTGTGAAAGCCAACGTAGGTCACGATATTATACGTGATTCAAGCACACTGAACTCTTAGGCATCGATCAAGACACGAAACAAAAATCGGGAGATGAAATACCTTGCTGGAATGAATCATGCAGACTGTATCACCGGGATCATCGGCACCCTGCAGCGCCAATACAAAGATCGCATTGCAGTATAACCATACACCTTTCCACCAGCGCCGCGACGGTACTCACACGCCGCAAATCACGCCGCAACACCAACGCGACTCACTTCGTAACTGTCGCTCAGCTGCCGGGCTACCATATCACCGTGCAAGGAATTAGCGAAATCTGGAGTCGCAAAGTCACCAGTAGAGAAAAGTCACTGAAATTTTACGGTTTTTCTGAGAAGAGATATGAGGTCTTTTCTCCTCAAACTAAAGGTGGGGTGATCTACTTTCACTATCGGCTTGCTTTCACCCAATCTACCAAAATATAATGTCTATAAACAATTCAAATAGGTTCCTAAAAGAGCCACTAGAAAACTGCTTATTGATACCCACGGTTCATGCCAGTCATGAAATCAGGCGCGCAGCCAGCGTCTTGGAAAGGGAGGGAGACGAGGTTGACAAAGGGCCCCCTGATCACGGGTGTCGATTTGTATCCTTTTGGGCGGGTCCCTGCCATCCCCCCCCCCCAATGACCAATTTATCACCCACCCACCCCAGTTTGCCCGCCCCAACCTTTTAGAGTCAAGGTAGGGGAAAACGGGGCAAAATGAGGCACCCTGGTAAAACGGGTACCCCGCGATCCCGGCTGTAA